TTCAGCAAGGACGCTTTAAATTGATCAAAAGTAACAGTAAAGACATTCATAATGTTGCTAAAGATTTTTATTTCAAGTAAATGCTGTTGTTTTGAACTTTCTATTCATCAAAGAATCCTGAAACTGATTTGCACAAAAAAATTAAGCACCAAAATCTTATGTTTTCAACATTGATAATAATAAGAACCATTATTAATAATTCAGCACCAAATCATCATATTAGAATGATTTCTGAAGGATCGTGTGTTTGTGTTTGCTGTAAAACTGAAAAAGGGTCTTTTTAAAAGTCAGAGACCATCAAACAGGCATTATTACATACTAGGTTAAAGAAATAGAGTAAAATAAACACAATAGAGATGAAAGTTAAATTAAAATGAATCAATCTTCCCAGATCAATCGGCATTTTTAAAACTAGGGCTTAAAATGGAGAGGCTATAAAAATATATTTTAGCACTGTCATGCTCATACAAAGTACAAATAAAGCAGGGGTCGGCAACTTATGGCACACTGACGGTTAATCGCTGGCACTTGAGCAAAGGTGTAGAGATGTATGCATTTCATTCAGATAAAGTACCTCGTACCTGCATACAGATCTGCATTTAAGGTAATCATTCCTCATAGTAACACAGCTTGTAATATTAAGGATGAGTTATACATACTATTAAAGTGTGAGAATTAAATCAATAAAAGCGCTCAGCTCTGACAAACGATCTCGCGCACACAAGTTACTGTCAGCTTTTCAGCTTGTTCCGCTGTACATAGTCAATGCTATACATTTCTGAGATATTCAGTATAGAGTCCTTATTAAACTTTCCACACACATCGAAATGAATGTGATGCATCATGGTTACACCGTTCATGTGTGCCTGGTCACTTCATGTGTTTTCTCTGGTCGGATAGCTTTCCAATCATGAAAAGACCGAAAGAGAGGAAATTTTTTTCGTATTCCAGATGAAACTGGACAAAATGCATCTGATTGTTGAAGCCACAAATGTAAATTTTACTCATCCTAAAATGGTACAAACTAAACATGGGAAGGTACCCAGAGAAGTAGTTGAGCATCTCTTCAGCAAGCCGACTCGCAAACTGAGTCAAACAAAGTCTAAACAAACTAACTAAAGGATTTTGACAAAAGTAAAACAAATTTTATGAAAAATTGCTTCAGAAATAAGCCTATTTAAGGTTCTGCACTATTTCTATGCCATTATGAATATTTAAAATATGTGTATGTGTATTTATGCATATTGGGGTGGGGTTATGGCACAGTGATAAACTCAGAAACTTAAAAATGACACTCCATGACAAAAAGGTTGCCACAAATAAAGAGTGTGTTTAATGAATGTGACATTTACTCTGTTGATTGGTATATTATATGTATTTTACCATTGTAATATACATGTAAATGTACAACACAACAAATACTGGAATATTTTATTCAGAGCCCAGAATAGTTATATCTCCCTGTAAAACCCCTCTTCTTCTCGGTACTGAGATGTGACTGAAACAATATTTGTAAAACCTTTTGTAGAAATACAGTGTCTGTGACCTGGCTGACTGATGAGATATCGAATCTTTCCTTGATCTTACTTGAAAAGCAGCAGTAAAAAAGATCGCTTCTGCCAGAGCAAATCTAATATCAAACGTAGGTCGGTTACATTGACGCTTCTTTTAATGCGTATGAAAGAAATCTGTGGCGCAAACCTGCAGGGAAAACAAACTCTCTGGTGTATTGCTGTGATGTGCCCTTTTAAAAACCTACTGTGACACATTAGTATGATTTCTGGAGGATCATGTGACACTGAAGACTGGAGTAATGATGCTGAAAATTCAGATTTGATTACAGGAATAAATTACATTCTAACAGTAATTACAATGGAAAATGGTTATTTTAAATAATATGTAATAATACTTTACAATATTATTGTTTTTACTGCATTTGTGTTTATCAAATAAATGCAGCCTTGGTGAGCATAAAAGACTTTTCAAAAACATAAAACAAATCTCAACTGTTCAAAATTTTTGACCATTGTACCAAAAAACATGGTAGTACCATAGTATTATTTGGTACTTTTCAGGTGGTGTGCATTTGTATTTGTACCTGTATTTAAATGTATAAAATGATCCAAATTTGGCAGTTGTTTGGTATATAATTCTCAACTGAGCATCTTTGGATTGTAAGTTTGTCCAAAGCTCTCTAGTCTAGTGGACAGAAATAGAAGTAAATGTCACTTCATTGTCCATTATCTTTAAGGCATTAACTTGGCATTATCTTGTTTACACCAAGTATTAAGATGTGTTTTGGTCGATCGGATCACAAGTGGACGAAGCTAAATACAGGTGTAAACGGGGTCTGAAGCGTTTTGAGCTTGTCCACTTTCAACAACTTCCAGAGGTAGTGGAAAACACATTCGACCGGATTGCTTTCATAGTGTAAACGCTCATGTGATCAAATGTGTTCAAACAGCCACAAAAGACCGTCTTCTCTCCGTCTACTGATCTAACGTGTGAACATTATGGGAAGCGCTCTAGCCAGACGGGATTTAAACTTTGCCGGCTGAAGACTCAAGTTTGGTTTGAAGATAAAAAACGTACCAAGCTCAATGTTCTCTCACCATTCCTGATTTCTAACACACACTCACAGCGTTCGGCTGGTCTTGAGGCTGTCAGAGCAGAAACTAAAGCTGATGCTCTTGATGTTTTTCTGTCGTGTGACTTCGTTCGTCCATTAGATCCAAAGAGCTGAAAAAGCCCATACATTTACCCGCACATAGACCCTCCCCTCGAAAAAATCAGGACAGAAGTGGGCAAAAGAGATTAAAACACCAGGAGTAAACGGGAATGTGTCCCCCTCGTCTACTTGTGAACCGATCAACCAAAATGCATCTTAAAGGCACAATATGCAGGATTTTTCGCCACCAGGAGTCACTAACCTCTTACAATAACAAAGGCGTATATTGATGACGTAGGCTATATTCCACATTAAGCTGAATTATGGATCTTGTCGTCAAGCTGATGGATCTTTTATGGATGAGTGAATACATTGATGTTTTTAACATGACTGTGGTATGAAGCAGGGCGCGATTGCTAGACGTATAACGTTACCAGCGTCACACGCAACACGACTCCGGCGGATATAAAGGAATAAGGACATTTCATTCTACCGAACTACACGCAAGTGCTGAATTAATACTCACACAGGTCAGTTTATTAGACGACTTAAACTTGAGGTAACGCAGCGCTGCTTCACTTGCTCTAACAGTTACACTATCACACTAAACTGCATTTGAGTGTGTTGAATGTTGTTAGTTAGGTTGTGTGTTGGCTGGATCAACATTAGAATAACATACAGATCATATTCTAACATTTCATCATGTTGAACTAAATAACATTGATTAGTTTTATGTACATTTGCTCACCTGTCTAATAAAGTACATGCAACACTCGCGAGCGTCTCTGTCAAGTCAAAGTTAGTCGCGGACGTGGAGCTCTCGGCATCTCGAAAGATGTTGATCTTCGTTTTAGTCCTCTTTTTGTCTCAAAGTCTGCTTGTCATGGTCCATAATGTATGAACAAAACAACAACAGCGTGAGCGCCCTGCTGGGCATAACGGGCATAACCCAGGTGTCAGCGTCTGTCGCCATGGTTACTATAGCAGTACGAGGTCAAACCTGGCGGAAAGGAAACCGGGGGTAACTCGGATATGATGCCATAGACTGGCGACTCCTCACCCCTGCTCACACGCCCCGTTTCCTTGGTTAAAATTGCAATTTTCTCACGATTTACAAATAGTTGGAAACATTTGGGATATTGTAAGTAATCAACTAAACAAAATATATAACATTGTCCGAGTGGTTTTTGGATATTTTACTGCAAAAATCCTACATATTGTACCTTTAATACCAGGTGTACACAGGGCCTAAGAAATCCTCTTTCAGAAATGTCTCCATTACATAAAGCCATAGATCAGTGCTTATAATGAAACGACTCTCGTTCTCTTCAGGCCAACCTGTGTTTTGTCGATATTGACAACCACTTCATCGAGCTACCCGAGGACCTGCCTCAGTTCCCCAACAAGCTGGAGTTCATCCAGGAGATCTCAGAGGTTCTGCTGGCGTTCGGCATGTCTCCCGAGGCAAACCCACAATGCAGCGAGGGCCAGGGCAAGCTCAGGGGCTTCCGGTCAGGTGACACGGCCTCCGACAAGCGCAACGGCAACCTGGCCGGCTCGCCGCTCAACTCGTACTTGCTGAGAGAAAACCAAACCATAGCTCGTCTGCAAGCGCTGGTCAAGAGGACTGGAGTCAGTCTGGAGAAGGTGAGCATGAGAATGAGGACACAGAACTGACTGAAACAGTGTTAATTATAGCTCCTTAAAGGTTCGTTATGGTTCTTTAAAGTGCCCTTATTATGCTTTTACCTTTTCAGTGTGAAATATATAGTGAGAATGTAAAAGGTCTGCAAAGTTTCAAAGATCAAAGTGCAGATAAATGGAGTTATTGTTTCCTTAAAGAAAGAAACGATTCTGAAACGAGTCGTCAGTAATTTCCTGCATGAACCTACGTAAGTTTGTAATGGTCTTCATTGGCTGCCAGCGAACAGCATCTATCACTTAGTCTTGCTTCTTCCAATGTTTCATTATTGAACTCGGGCTCAAATTCATAATGTAAAAGCCATCGTTACTGTTCGTATCACTGTGTATCAAGCGCTGAGGAAGAATTGAAATTCAGATATGGTAATATGGTAATATCTGTAAAAGGTCGACCAATCACAACAGACTGGGTCAGCTGACCAATCAGAGCAGAGGAAGCTCTCAGAAAGGAGGGGATTAGAAAGACCGAATCCTTTATTGAACCATTTCAGACACTGTGAGAAACAAGTTGAAGCTGCAATAAATATTTAAACCTTTTTATGCTTTTAAACCTATTGTAGGAGACTCCAAAAACAAATTAGGTACCTTTAAAATGGCATAATAGGGGCACTTTTAAATGAATATTCTGTAATAAATTGAAAATATATTTTTTCTGTGATAATTGATGACAAACTGATTTTAGTTGTAAAAATTAACAAAAACTGCATTTACAGCTAGTAGGCAAGTGAATAAACATTTAAAATGTTTTATTATCACACTGATTGGCATCCACATTATGATAACATAATAAGGACGTGGAAGGGACAAGGAATTGCATGATAAAGCATAACCACAAGTTCATCCACCTCAATAAAGTACAACTTTAGAGTTCAAGCACCGAGTGCTTTAACAAAAAGCCCTCAGAGAAAACAAAACTTCCACACACAAAAAAAGCATAGAAAAACAAAAAGCATGCATTGACTACAATATTATATATATTTTTTTTGTTTTGTTGGTCCTCGTGTTTTTGCATTTGTTCATAATTTCTTTGTATGTCAGCCTGGCCAAAAAATATGTTCGCACAATTTGGCTCGTTTCATTGCGTTATTAAAACAATTGATGCAACTACGCAATAACTTTTTGTTTTCGATTTCATAAAATGTAACAAATTGTATGTAGACCAGAATATATTCCACATATGTTCCACAATTCATTTCTTGATGCTGTAAATTCTCTGACAAAAGAGTTTTTCTCGCTCCTGTGTTCATCTGGTTTCTCTGGGCATATGCCTTGAATTCAATAAACCCTTTTTTGAAACCGAACAATAACTTCAGCAGTGATGACAGCTGCTTTGTGGAAGACATAGCCTATCTTTTCAGTGTGGGCAATAGTTATAATTATTGTGTGGGCAATGAAAAGATGAATAAATGGCGGTTAAGACTGAGCGCGCTCTGTTCTGATTCTCAGAAAGCTCGAGTCTCTGTTGATGACATTAAGCAGCTTAAGGACACAGTCTTTCTAAAGACAGCGATTGACCCCTTTACTCCTGATATAGCTCCTAGAGAGAGTCTGTCACATCTTTAAAGCTGCACTAGTTCAATTCCATTATGCTGACTTGATATTCAGCAAATCCCATATTTAGAGTGAGCTGTCAGGCACTTGTTTGCTTCTCTTGCTCTCTGTGTATCGCCACTTGCTCTGTATGGTTATATTCTCCCGGGAACGAGTCTCGTTTGCCTCATAAATCAAAGCGGATTTGTAGACTTCCGTTCCCAGCACTCCCTGCTCCCTATTCAGGGTGTTTCTATGGAGAACAGATAACTCAGATCAACTCCAAAAAGCTGTGCTGATATTTGCTCTCACATTTTCCCACTCTCTTCTTCCAGCTCTCTGTTAACCCCTTCCTGTACTTTTAAATGGAAATTCAGTTTTCTAAATGCTTGTTATTGATCTTATTGAACGCTTCATCATGCACGTTTCATTCTGAAAAACATTGTTAACATTGTCCATCCAATCAGCAATCGATGCATAAAACCAAGTCCCGCCCCACATTTTTGCCTTTTTCAATAACCCTTTTCACTCAAGAAAAGATCTGTCGCTCCTTCCGTTACATTGCGACTTCGGTATTTTTCCTGGTAAATGTCAGGAGTGTAATTTAGCATTAGAAACATGAAGAGTGCTGATTTTTGTCTTTTGTTCATTTTTTTAATGCTGATATTAAGATGACATTGTGTCCACACCAAAGTTTCCTCCAATCAAGTACATCATCTGCCATCACTAAAAATGAATTCTGATATCTAAATGCTCACGAAGCAACAAATTAAATGGAGGATAAGTAATTTTCGGAGAGGCTAACAATAGCGAGCTAGCTTTGAGAGCATGAGATCCCACCCTCCCTTCAGAGCGTCTCCAAAGCCACGCCTCCTCCAAAACACATGAATGCATACAGCAGAAACCCTATGCTAAAACTCTAGGTTTTGTCTTGTTCGAGAAGCCATTTCACTCAGATATACGTCACAATAGGGAAGAAAAGACTATTGCAAATTCCAACTTTAAACCGCGTAATTGTTTTCAATTTTCAAACACAAAGCTCTGTGCCTGTTTATAAGCGTTCTGTTTTTCTTTCTGTGTGTTTGACAGTTGGATGTGAAGGAGGACACGAGCACTAATAAGGATTTAAAAGTGCAGTGTGATGAGGATGAGATGAGAAAGCATCGGTTGAACATTCACGTGCGAGAGGTCTTCGCCAACCGCTTCACGCAGATGTTCTCCGACTATGAGGTGTTTGTCATTCAGCCCAGCCAAGACAAAGAGTCCTGGTTCAGCAACCGAGACCAGATGCAGAACTTCGACAAGGTAGCATTTCACTACTCATTCATTAATAATTCACGTTGTTTTATTGCTGGTTCGAGGTGGTCAACAAGCTTGACAACACTTGAAGTAACTGACCAAAAAGTTTTATTGTTAAAGTTTTATGAATTTAATTGATTGATTTATTTATTAAAATGTAATCCAGAAAAATTTAAACAGAAAACACCGTTTCGGAAAAAGATAAAACTGATTTGCCAGGGCTACTGAAGCACCATGCATTATTATTATTATTTAGTATTATTATCATTTTTTTTCTAACTTTTTCTTATCTTAACTTAACAAAATAATAGTTTCCTCATGATTTCAGCATAAAATTGTTTTCTCAGGATCTCAACATAAAATAATTGTTTTCCCGTGATCACAACTTAATTTTTTTGAAATGTCTTAATGTCTTTGAAAATTAATAAAATAAGGAATAATGATAATAACATTGTATTGGTTTTAATTTTAATTTATGAGCAAAAATTTTATTTTTTCATTCCGGCTTTAGAGTTTTTAGGCCAGCTTTCCAAAAGTTTACCGGTTAGAACGAACTAATACGATTAGTCAATAACATTTATTTTATATTGAGTGTTCATTGTGCTAATAAGTTTTGATAAACACAATATTTCAGTCTTTCCAGTTCACATTCATTATAATAACAACAATACAATACGTTAAAGGTTGAGAAAAAAAAAAAAAAAAAAAAAAATCAAGTCACCAATAAGAAAAATAAACTTGTGACAGATTTGTATCCCATGACAAAAATAGTTCTGGTGACATACTTTCTATTAAAAATTTCTATTAAATGAATATTCTTTACTAGATGCATTTCTTGTTTGTAATTAAATTAAGAGACTTAAAATAAAAATCCACCTCTATCAAAAACAACTTAAATGATGGTGAAGAATTCTGGAATTTACATTTATGGATATGAAACTTGCCTAACAAAATGTAAAGGTTTATTATAGTACATAGTTTCTTTTCTTTGAATTCAAAATAAGTGATAATGTTCTTCCCCTCAATGTTGATTTTGTGTTTTGTTTTACATAATATATAATTCTCAAGTTCTTTCCAAAATAAAACAAGTGGGTTACATTTTCAAGTTCATTTGTACATTTGTTATCAATATCAAGAAATCTTGAAATGTACATCTTAGATGGGTATATGTTATGTAATATTTTTAGATGTAATTCTCTAATTGTATTTGTGACACAAAATTTAAAAGGAAAAAGCCATGCCTTCTGCCAATTAAACACAATAAAATCATATTATTCAGGCTGGTGGTTCGATGACATCAGTTACTGCTTTATTTATTCTGAAACGAGTAAGTTTAGAGTAACTGATCAAGAAGTGTTGGATGTTTTTGCTGATACTCTCAGCTCACAGCAGCTTCATGGACCATCCCTAAACTTTCCCCACTGCAGGCCTCCTTCCTGTCGGATCAGCCAGAACCGTACCTGCCATTCCTGTCCCGCTTCCTGGAGACGCAGATGTTTGCCTCTTTCATCGACAGCAAGATCCTCTGCCACGATGACGAGGACAAAGAGCACACGCTGCGAGTGTTTGATTCCCGAGTCGACAAGATCCGCATGTTAAATGTCAGGACGCCCACCCTGCGGACCTCCATGTACCAGAAATGCACCAATATTGAGGAATCAGGTGAGATGGGATAAGCATACTAGTTTTATTTACAAATGGAAGCTCTTGCATGCAGAGTATCAACTATTTTTATTTAAATTCACCTGTCATGAATGTTTTTTTTGTTTTTTTTTTTACTGGCCATGAAACTGTATTTTGTATTATTTTATATAAAATGGTAGCCTGGTTAAAACCAGACCATTCTCAGTTGTAACTGAGTTATGGTCTGGCAAAGCGTCATAGACAAATCATTTCCAGAGGGGCGTCACCAACGGACGTCGCGGATAGACCTAAACCCATTCAGAGCGATGAAGGAGATGACGTATGCAGAGCGGCGGAGAAACATCTCCGAGTGTTGTTCTTTGCTCGGTTTTTAACAAAAAGGAAACGTTCAAATCACTTAAAACAGACGCGATAGCTGATTCGAACGAGTGATGTTCGACGGCGGCATCCATCTTTGTAATGTAGGCTACAAAATCTGCTTCAAAATCCCAGCGCTGTTGTCATCGTGTAAAGCCCGCCCCAACGTTTCTGATTGGTGTCTCGATTTCGGCGGATTGGAAATGGGCTTGAATGAGCTGTTTGCCAGACTAACTTTCAGAGCAAATCTAAATTTGCCGGAAGTTGTCTGGGTTTTCCCAGGCTAATAAAATGGTTAAATTCACCAGATCTTATTGTGAACAGTAAAAACAACAGACTTTTGCGACTCTGTGGTGACGGACTCTTAAGTCACTTAAACCCCAAGCAAGCTCACATTCAGATCTGCCTTCATCCAATCAACGACCGATGGATGTTTTTGTTTATCAATAATCCGTTAATATTGGTTGTACGACGGAATAGACAGAAGAAAAGACGTCACCTCTTCTGTTTCAGCGCAACTTTAAATCAAATAAAAGTTTGAATTTTATATATAAAAGTTTGAAAGTTATATATGTTTAATAGCTTGTTTCAGCCATGGAATAAATAGAATAAAAAAGGTAATTGTGAGTTTTACATCTCATAATTCTGAGGGGGAAGAAAGGTCAATTGACCGATATGGACATCATTTTCTCAGAATTGCAAATTTATATCTTGCATTTCTGACTTTTTCTGAGAATTGTGAGATATAAAAGCACAATTTTGAGAAAATCGTCTGAATTGCTGCTTTACATTGCAAGAAAAAAGCTCGAATTGCGAGTTTATATCTTGTATTCAGACTTATTTCTCTTATTGCAATTACCTTTTTTATGTTTTTATGGCGGAAACTAGCTTCCATAATTTAGGAAAATGTATTGTATATAATTAAAAAATATATATTGTTATAATTATAGCCTTGTCCCTAAAAATGTATTACCTATCTTTTTATCCTTGCATATTTGTAGCAACTGATAACTTTACTTGCCAAAGCTAATTTCGACAATCCAGTAATATTGGTTGTCATTTTATTAATAAAATGCCTCCATTCATTCATTCATTCATTAATATTGGTTGTATGTCAAAATATACAGAAGAAAAGGTTTGTAGGCTCATTTGTGTTTCATACTTTAAACAAACTTTTGAATTTAATTATTTATTAATTATACATATTACATGTACGTATTTAGTATGGAAGCTTGTTTCAGCCATGGAATAAAAAAGGTAATTGCAATGTTTTATCTCACATTAGGGGTGTAACGGTACATGTATTCGTATTGAACCGTTTCGGTACGAGGCTTCCGGTTCGGTACGCATACAAACCGAACAATTCCTTGGACCATTTTTCCTGCCGACAAAATTCGCACTGGCGCGACCACCACAACGTTGCGCAACATCAAATGGCAAACGTAATGAAAGCGGAACGAAACTGCGCTATTGTGTTTCACGGATCGTTTATCAGTTCGGAGCAGCAACATCTGTGCAGCGGGAGCCGATCTCGATCAAGCGACACTGTTACAATCGTTACAACACAGCGCTAAGAGATCCAGTAAAGAAAACATTTGAATTCGCCACTGAAGTAATAACATCGCTGCGAGATCTAGAGAGAAGCATTCACATTTCTCCGTTATTAACCGTAGATCTCTATTAGATCAAACAGCGCTGACGTGGACACCAGGAGAAATATTGTGCCGTGAATGAACTAGTAATACTTTACGTCCACAGACCAGCAACATTCACCATGGATTTAATATAGTAACACTAACTGTAACCAGTTTGGCTGGAATAGTGAAATGCTTTCAAGTACTTCACACATCTTTTTCCAGCACTTCAAAACTCAAATATTATATAAATAAATAGCCTATATGAAGAGTTCAGATGCAAAAGCCTCTAAGTGCCATTTGAAATTTTCTTCTAGAATGATCATTTTTATGAAGCTTGTATATTAAAGTTCAGTAATTTCACTCAAATGACAATTAATAGGAAATCTTCATTGCCATTTAAGTGAAATTACTGAACTTAAATATACAAGCTTGATAAAAATGATCATTCTAGAAGAAAATTTCAAATGGCTTTTGCATCTGAACTCTTCATATATTTAAATGTTATTTTTAATGTGATGACCAAAACATTATTTGTTCATCCTTTAAAGATGACCCCCATTTATAAACCTGAAAGTTTCAAGATGAAGGAAAACTCACACTTATTTAAAAAATATTTTTTCTTTTAACAAATAGGAAATTTCTCTTACTTTTTGCTGTATCGAACACGTACCGAACCGTGACTTTAAAACCGAGGTACGTACCAAACCGTGATTTTTGTGTACCGTTACACCCCTATCTCACATATATTTATAATTAGAACTTTTTCTCACAATTCTGAGAAAAAAGTCAGCTATGTCTATATCCAATCCGTCAATTTACCTAACTATCTTGCAATTCTGACTTTATAACAAAACAAAAAGTCAGAATTGCAAGATATAAATACCCGTAATTGGAAGAAAAAAAGCCAGAATTGTGAGTTTATATCTTATTTCCATATTTTTTATGAAACTGTGAGATAAAATGGCGTGAAAAACGTTGATCTGTTTTCCTCATGACGCATCAGTAAAATGGAAATCTGTAAGTTTTACCCTGTAATCCATAAGCAGCTCGCTTCATGCTCAAATCCACTTCCTGCAATGCATTATGGATAGGATTTTTAGATCAAGCTCATTTGTGCATTCAGATATCTTCCATTAGCTCTGCTGATGAAAATGGAAATGGAGCCAAATGGAAATTGTATTTATTATTAACGTGAATAATGATCGATTAAAAGATGTTTGTCAGGGAAACTATTTTAAAGCCTCTCATTTATCATCATCATAGAGCTGATTACAAAGTTATTTTATTGCTTTTAATTTATGGTGCTTGATCAGAAGTAAACCCTGAATTGAAGTATTATAATATGGAGGCTGACATTTTTTTTAGCCATCAAGCTCTATTTTGCATTAGTTAAAAAAAAAAATATATTAAATCAATTTAAAAGGATAGTTCACACCAAAATGAAAACTCTGTCGTCATTTACTTACTATATGTTGTTTCAAACCTGTATGGATTTATTTCTTCTGCTGAACACAAAAGAAGATATTTTGAAGATTGTGGGTAAAGTGAAGAACTTCTGGCCCACATTGACTTCCATATATATTTTTTTCTATACTATTGAAGTCAATGGGGGCCGGCAACTGTTTGGTTACCAGCATTCTTCAAAATATCTTCCATAATTTTCAACAGAAGAAAGAAACTCAAGCAGGTTTGGAACAAATTGAGGGCGAGTAAATGATGACCGAATTTTCTTGTTTGGGTGAACTTTTCCTTTAAACGAAATGAAGTATATAAATGTTCTCAGCTCTTGCTGTAGCATCTCTAACGGCTGATAGATTTAGTGTTGTGTAAGAGATATTTCGAGCGTGGCGTGTGGGTTCACACCAGTGGCTGAACTGTCTCTTTCATTCGACCACATCACTAGCTCACTTTCCTCCCACCTTGTGGGTTTTGTGTCTCTGTGATTAAAAACGTAATTTCTTTGGTGATTCATCAGTAATGTGTGTGTGTGATGTGTGTCACTTCAGAAAAGGCCATCGAGATGCGGCTGTGTAAGATCGACCACACGGCTCTGCACCCCCACCTGCTGGACATGAAGATCGGTCAGGGCCGCTACGAGCCGGGCTTTTTCCCCCGCTTACAGTCCGACGTGCTCTCCACTGGACCCACCAGCAACAAGTGAGAAGGAATCTTTTCCCAGAAATCAATTAATTACACACAAGTAGTGCTGGGCGGTATGACCAAAAATCCATATCACGGTATTTTTCAAAATTATACCGGTTTCTTGGTATATAATGTTTTTTTTTTGTTTGTTTTTTGCATGACTAGGTGTTAACTACATTTTCTACTGATTGAGAGAGGTAACACTGCAGTAGATTGACTTCGAATGCCCTATTTTACTGTCATGGGTGAATATTGTAGAAAAAAATCCACACTAGTATTAATACAGGTTTGCAAGGCTGTTTACGGCTGAACACAAAGCAGCGCAGCGCTCATAAACGCTGCTTTATCAGGAAAGATTCAATGAAACTTTTCTAAAGACCGTCAGTTCACTTCAGATACATCCATATAAAAACACTCATATACATTCATATGTCTATGCCAACCACAAATAGATTTTCCAAAAGGCTGTGTTGATATTGTGAACCAATGTATGGGAAACACTGTAATTTAATTTCACAGCTAGTATCAATTATAGTTTAACCTATCTATATTCACGGTCACGCTTAGTAACACTTACAGCTGTGCATCACCACAGAAAAAAAACAGTGTCGCGCCGCGTTCACAACGTTGTTTAAGCGACATACACCAGTATTGTGGTATATTAAAAATGCATATAACAAAAATAAACACCGGTATTCGGTATGAACCGGTATACCGCCCAGCACCACACACAAGGCTTAGGCACAACGTGGACCAGCTTCACTTGTTGGCCCTGAAATGAGAAATGACTTTCCCTAAAATATGATTGTTTGCTAGTAAAGCTGGATAGATTCATTCAAGAGTCAGTGGTTCTGAACTGTCAGTTTGAGGGAATTGATTCAAAACCCTCGTTCAGCTATTAGATCACTAAAAATGTTGATGGCTGTTTGGCGTTTTATATGCTTTAAAGGGTTAGTTCACCAAAAAAAGGAAAATTCTGTCATCATTTACTCGCTCTCATGTCGTTCCAATCACGTAAGACTTTTGTTCATCTTCATTTCTGGAATTGATATGGTAAAACCGTATCAGAATGCCATTCTTACTGTTCGTATCACTGTGTTTACAAGTGCTGAGGAAGATCCGCAGCTGAAACTCAGATATGGTAATTAGTGTTTAGTTTGTGTTTAGTTAGTGTTTTATAGTTTCTGACCAATCAGAGCAGAGGAAGCAGTTTAGAGAGACCAAATCCTTTATCGAACCATTTCAGACACTGAATGTGATGCTGCAATGGATATTATAAGAAAATAAAAGTTTTTATTTATATATTTTTTATTACCTTTGATGCATGTAAACCTATTGTGGGAGACTAAAATTAGGAACCTTTAAAATAGCATGATATGTTATGGCCACTTTAATGTTTCATTTTTATTTTTAGTTATTTATAAAATAATTGATAAATATTCATTTATTTGTATTATTTTGTATTTTGTGTATATATTGTCTTATTTCTATTGAATTATAATATTGTAATATTGGCGCCCCCCTGTGGTGACATATTTAGGATTTTTAGCAGGACCAGTTTTCAACAGCAATGTAAATGTGCTGGCGGCTGTGCTTATGCCGTACAAAACCATGAGGAAGAAATCAACTATTTCAAAGAGGAATTACTGGACTGCTTATTGATTCTTGGTAGAAGTCATAGCAATGCTTAATGATTCGCTTCCACAGGCACTTTAAATCTGCTGGACAACAAGGACTGATTTGTTGAAATGATGATTTGTAGCAACTCGAAAGCCATTCAGAGCCAAAATATTTAGACAAATATTAAATAACTTAGGAAAGGCTTAAAAATATTGTTTTAGCCATATTGCCCCAGCTGTAGTTGATATTAAGTTTGCTTCCAGATCAACAAGGATGCTGCTCCAACAAGGTGTCTTGCTTTGGTAAATCAAGCATTGAGACTCTTTCTCATTAGCCAAGTGCAAACTGTGGAGGCCGGTTGTTTGATTTTTTGTTTTGTTTTAATGTAACTGTGTTGTTGTG